ACAGCTCTTGGGCCGAGCGTGCCCCCTGCCCACCCCAGCTGGGATGCCCTTCCCAGCTGCTCACTGCTGGCAGTGCTGGCTGGAGGTCCTCGCCCCCCCAGGGACCCCGGTGCCCCATCCCCATGCCCCGCGCGTGCCTGGCTGACGCAAGCCAGGCCATGACCCCCCGACCAGGCTGTGACGTGTCGGCACGCGGGGCTGCGGTGCTGTGTGATGCACTGGGTGAATCAACACCACCGGCTAATTTTGGCTGCTCTGACAAGCTGGGGGGCAAGTTCCTGGCCATCCCTGGGAGGAAGAACAGAGCCAGTGTTATTTCCTCTCCCTGCCGCCGCCGGGGAGGCCGTGAGGCAGCTGGCGTGGGACGGGTCACCCTGTGGCCACAGGGATGGGCAAGTCCCCCAGCGGTCTGAGCCCCACCCCAGGCACCCTGTCTCCTCACACTGGCCAGCCCTCCAGGCTGAGCACCTACCAACCTGTCTCACGTGGGTGCCTGCCCAGCCTGAGAGCCCCTGGGTGCTCCCACAGCCACTAAGGGGGCAACTCTGGGGCAAAACCCTTCTGCATGGGGCTCACCCCACAGCAACACCTACAGGCAGCCGGCAGAGGGGCTGGGCCAGACTGAACTGGTGCAGGTGGGCTGCAAACCAGTGGCATCCCAGTTGGACTGGGTGAAGGTAAGCTGCAAACCAGTGGTGTCCCAATTGGACTGGGTGTAGGTGGGCTGCAGACCAGTGGCGTCCCAGTTAGACTGGGTGAAGGTGGGCTGCAAACCAGTGGTGTCCTAGTCGAACTGGTGCAGCTGGCTGCAAACCAGTGGCTCAGGCAGCGCTCTGGGGTTGGCCCAGTGGGGAGGTGATGTGTCTCCAGCAATGTCCCCCAGCTGGCCAGGGCCAGGGAGTCCATCAGGACAGCTGCGCCAAACCGGCACCAGGAGACGTCCGGGAACCTCGTGTGGCACAGTGCCAGGGAGGTTGGCACTCGCTGTCAGTGCCAGCAGTGATATGCGTGTGCATTTTCTTCCTTCCTTAAGTGATTAACCAAGGCTGACAGGAGCAGGAAGGCTCAATTAGATGGATAAAAACCATTTCGCGAGTCAGACGTGAAATAATTATGTCTGAGCCACCCCGAGTTCCCGGAATCCCCTCCAAACGCAGCGGATGGAGCTGAGGGGGCAAACACCCACCCATGGCCTGGGATGATTTCATCTGCTATTGGGCAAAATGTATTAGTAACATCATGTGTGTCCCCTGCTGCGTGTCACCATCATCCCCTCCACGGGTCAGAGGTGGAGCTGGGGGCAGGATAAGAGCCAGGGCTTGGTGAGGAGCAGGGCAAACCCTCAGCTCATGGTCCCCGCACCCCAGGAGCATCGCCTGAACATCAGGGGGACGAGGACCTGCTGGAAATGGTGAGGCTATGTCCTTCGGTGGTGTTTTCCAGGGGGAGGGTTAGCTGGGAAATGGGTTGCAGGGGGTTGGATGCTTTTCATTACTCTCTTCCTAGCTAGTTAAACCACCTCCAGCTGCCCGGTCCGATACTTTCCGAAGGGTTTCACCCTGGAGACGCATTGCAGCAGGCTGGATGCCTTTCACTGCCCTCCTTCCAGCTAGGCAAACTGTGCTGGGCAACTGATTTGGGGGAGAGGCAGGATTTGTGTGTGGCGGTGACCCCATGCCCACACTGACTCCCACCCCACAGCACAGCACCCTGACCCCCACTGCACAGCACAGCACCCTGCATCCCCTGGGGCCCTACCTGGCACCAGGGTGGGGGCCAAGGCGGAGGAAGTTGCTGAGGCTCGGCACAGCTCAGTGCATGTGGCCAAACTCGAGCCCTCGTCACCCCGCTGCCACCAACCTGCTGTGTATTTTAGGCCAAGTGGCTTTTGTCCCCCCCGGGGGGG